TATATATATATATATATATATATATAACTAGGAGGTATAACTCCATCCCACTGAATCAGCCCATTCTGCTTATATATTTATGTCTATGTTTTGTCTTCTGTTTCTTTCACCCTTGTGTTCTGATAACCTTATGTTTCCCTTTCTTGTGTACTTTTTTTTATATTATTAATTTATTTATATTACTTGACTCGCATTGTTATTAACTTCTTTGTTTGGTTTAAAAATATGAATTTTAATTATTAATTATGAATATATCTTTAATTATGTGTTTTTGCTTTTATTTTTTAGCATTTATAAATTATTTAATACATATATCTGTAAACTTCATCTCCCAATATGCAATCCCACCATAACGGTTTGGGGGTTGGCTGTTCAAGCACTCCTCACTACTTGGGATTGATAACTATGGTTATCACACATCAGGTGCCTGGCATGAAGAGTTTTCCCTGAAAATGTTTTCTTTACCATAATCTTTTATTGTTTGTGGTATCATTTGCATAGGACTAGTCAAACTTGCGGGCCCTGTATTATCAACTTCAGGTCCAAGTCAAACAACCACCCCTGATAAGCGATAATAAAATCCTGAACTACAAAATGAACATAAGGAAAAGTGCATATGGTAGCTAATACCCATAAATTGACCCAACAAAAATACCCAACTATATGACTATAATATAACTCTTATAGGACTGAATTTAATACTGACTACATTAACACTAGCTGTTCCAGTATACCAATAAAGTCATACATCACTTAGAAATTGTGGCCAAGTAACAATGTCGATGGTCTCAATATAACATGTCAATAATTAACATGTCATCTTAGTGATCAACTAACAATGTCCAACGGTAGCTAACATAGTGACAAAATATTTGAAAACTTGAAAGTTAAGTAGTAAAATGGTGCAATTTCAAAGTTGAGTGGCAAAATTTGCAAAATTGCGAAACATGGATGGCAAAAAATGTAACTAAGCCTACTTTTATGTAGTTGACGAGTTTAAGGTTTGAACAACTTAATATATAACACCTTTTTCTTAGGGGAAAAAAAAAAAAAAAAAAAAACTCTGCTCACATTGCTGCATGAAATGAGAGTTCTAAACCTCTTTGCCCTCCCTATTTAATTTGACAATATCACTTTTAACTTTACCTAATCCTTTCTCCTAATTTAGCTGACAAACTGTGCTGTGATTTTGTTATGTTGCAGCAATTAGTGTAGAAGATGAGTACGTTGGATGCAACAAGGGCTGAACTTGGTCTTCTTGTTTTATATCTGGGCAAGGCTGAAACAAGGGACAAAATATGCAGAGCAATACAATATGGTTCCAAATTTTTGAGTAACGGGGAACCTGGTACTGCCCAGAATGTAGAAAAATCAACCAGCTTGGCACGAAAAGTTTTTCGTCTGTTTAAGGTTTGGCTATCTTTACTTTCCAATTTCTGGCACATGCTTTTTCATCAGTTAACATCTTCATTTTTTAATGGTATTTCTTTCTTTGTATCATTTTCATTATGTGTGTATCCCCAATGATTAATTTGTTTAAAAAAGACAAGATATTTGTAGTATGCATAATTTTATTTTTTGGGTTCTGAGGGATGTAATTGGAAAAGGGATAAAACAAAAAAAGTCGAATACTGCAACTTTTTTGTATAGTATTATCCATTTATAATATTCAAATAGACATTTGGCATGAAAAATAAATGTTGCAAATTAATTAGTTCATGCACTGATGGTCACTCTTATACATCACTCTTGATTCGCAGTTTGTCAATGACCTACATGCTCTGATTAGTCCAACACCACGGGGAACTCCTCTCCCTCTAATTCTGTTGGGAAAGGTATGAAAACTCAAAAAACATTCCACTGTTTTTCATCTTTGTTTGATTTTCCTTACATCTTGTTATTTTTTTCAGTCCAAGAATGCTTTACTCTCCACTTTCTTGTTTCTTGATCAATTTGTGTGGCTTGGAAGATCAGGCATCTACCAGGTAGGAAATAATAAAATATATATTTTTCTTTAGCATCATGTTTGTTTCGGTACTATTATATGTGAATGCCATCCTGCAGTATATAAGAATTTTTTGTCTAAATACAGAATAAAGAACGCAGTGAACTAATTGGCCGGATATCTCTTTTCTGTTGGCTGGGTTCCTCAGTGTGTGGCTCCTTGGTTGAGGTTTGTGGCTTACCTTCCTTCATTGATGTTGTGTGTGCATCAATGTGCCCTCTTATTCCTTCATTGTTAAACTTTGTGTAAATTGCATAACATGTTTGACTCATTTGATCAGCTGGGGGAGCTTGGAAGACTCTCTGCATCAATGAAGAAGATAGAGAAAGAACTCAAGAACAAGAATAAATATGAAGTATGTTGTCTATGTTTGTGTATAAAGTCTTCAAACTGTGATTTCGGTTTACTTTGGGACTTTGTTTGCCTTACTTTTATGTGTTTTCATTAACTATGATTTCAGGATGAACAATACCGTGCCAAACTAAACAAGTCAAATGAGAGGACTCTAGCACTAATCAAAGCGGGAATGGATATAGTGGTGGCAGTTGGACTGCTTCAATTGGCACCAAAGAAAGTTACTCCCCGCGTGACTGGTGCATTTGGATTTGCTTCATCTCTAATATCTTGCTATCAGGTGTTTGCTTTCTTTGTGCTTCTATTTTTCTTCCCTAATACCTTGTATCCATGTTCTATCTCTAACATACATGCCTTTTGCACAACGAGTGACCAAGATACAAAACCACAGACAAATTTAGCTCTTTAGTTGTTTCTCTCTTGATTGTTTGATGGTCATGGTTTTTCTCTTAGTTGTAACTATTCTTATCAGTATTATTTCCTCTGACAATTTTTGGTTTATGCAATGCAGTTGCTTCCTGCCCCAACCAAGTCCAAAGCTTCATGAAGTTTGCAAGAATAAAATGGTTCTCATGTCACTTCGTTATTGTCAAATAATTATATGAATTGGTCAGGAAATATTGGTTGGTGTGAGCATTGACCAATTTCCATCATAGTAGAAAACAGGACCCTGTTTACAATTGTTTCCAAAAACTGCTATGTAGGGTATCTTTCTATTTTGGTCCTCCAAAATATATGCAACGATAATATGTTGCTCCATAATATAAATATATAAATTTGTCCCCTAAAAGACATGCCATGTCATCAATTGGTTCCCCCTCCCCCTCAATGTTTCATTGTGTCATCAAAATGGTCCTTCAATCAAATATCAAAGTGGTCCTTGAAAGACAACATGGGATGCATTGGTTTTATCATTAAAGGATTAATTTGATGTTTACAAAGGGCTAATGCGATGCTTTGTAGAAGTCAAATGACTAAAATCTTTAAATATTCGTCATTGTTTCCCTGGTGTGAACACGAATGATATATTCCACTAAGCAAGCCACGTATATGTTTCAACTTACTGATACTAATCACAACCTAGTGTATTTGTCCACCACGGGTACTTCATGTTGAACACTACACTGAGTGACAATCCCGTTATGTGCGATGCTGAAACAATATGTAGATAAATTGCAGATATGCTGTGTTGTTTATATGGTAAGAGCAATCAATATCGGTTCCCACGCATTAGTTTTCCAATTGAAAGAGAAAAACAACCAATAAACCTCTGCTTATGTGTTAAAAGTGTGATTACTCTGAATTAGAGGACCCGAGCAACCTCCTAAGAAATAAGTTCAAGAGAAAGAAATAAACGTCTATATATATAATAACCTAGAGAAACAATATGCATCACCGCAACAATAACAAAACAGTGTAACAATGAACAATTTTCCTACAACACATTAACTTATTCTAGAACCATTGGAGTCATTTTCCGTATTGCTTTATTGTAATACTTAAAGGGCTTCTTGGGTTTTTTTTTATTTTTAATATTCTTTGATACACATTAGTCGGTTTGTGAATTTCAAAAGAAGCAACATGAAGTATATGCGTAAGAGTTCCATTTAGTTAGGATGAAAATCCGCAAAATATACGATTGAAACAATCATAAAATTGATCAGATTGGTTTGAGACAGTTTTTTGAATCAGCAATTGGTGAAGTTGTCATTTTAGGTAAGTCAAGAAATTGGTAGAGAAAAAAAAATTGTGCAGAAAGAAAAATAGGCTAAAAATGGGCCAAATCTAGACATGAATTAATGACGAAAAACTTATTTGAATTTTTTCTTTTTAAAATTTTTTTAAAATTTTTTTTATTCTAATGCATTTTCAAATAAGAGGCTTTTTTCCGTGTGTATAAAACAAATTTGTTGAAAAATATTTCCTTAAATAAATTTCAGTATGTCAAAGACTTAATCTATAACTTTTAATTAAGGAATATCTTGGTTTATATATATATAAAGGTTGATATATAAGATTTATATATAGATTTCTTTTCTTAATTATTTATAATAATTTTACTTTATTTTATAAGACATGTAATACAATCGTTTCATGTTAATTTAAATGTCTTGATGAATTATTAATGACAACCTAGTAGTAGAATATTATAGTAGTATACTTAGGATTTGTCCTTCTAGATTTAAAGCGTGTTATTGTCATTATAATTTTTATAAATAATAAAAATGCTTAAATATGTTTAATACAACAAGAAGGTCCATTACATAAATAACATAATATCAATAGGTTCGGTCAAGAAGGTCCTAATTTATTTTTTTTTAACATTCTTCTTGATCTTCATATAACCTTTTTTATAGAGCTAGAAATCAAGTGATTTTTGCTCCTTCCCAATGTTTTTAAGGTCTTCTTTGCACACGTCCAAACCACTTTAATCATATTCCTATCATTATTTTCTCAATAGATGCTACACTAATGTTTTCTCATATGCAATCATTTTATAGAAAGTATCGGAAAAATAATAAACTCATTCAAAAATTGATTGTAGTGGTACATGACATATAGAAATCCTAAAATATTATATCTACAATTTGAATAGAAATCCTGATAAAATATCTTCTTTTTTTTATATGACAACTTAAGAATCAACAATACTTGAAAATAATTTTTCAAAACACAAAAAACATGAAAATATTGATATTTTCAAGAATAAACTTTTAATCCGTTATACGAACACTCTTCAACACTTTGCTATAGGCTTCTGCTCAAGTTGATTATACTCCACTGATACAACGTTTTTATTATTCAATAAGAAAAGATACTTCTTCAATTCATTTTTTTTTTGGCATTCATTTAATTTCCAAGATTTTTTATATAAAATTTGTACGATTTTATTCTTGGGATTTAGTCATTTTATATTTTCCTTATATAAAAGACTAAACTTTTGCTCAAAACACTTTTATTAAATTTAATTTTAAAAAAATATACACATATTCTCTTTCTTTATACTAAATATTGCTGGTATTATTTTTAATAATTTATAGACAAGAAAACTAAATGCATAGTTTTAAAAATTCGGTCATCAAACCGGTTAGGATACTAAGTCAGTGAATCAAAAGTTTAATCGATGGGTCACTAATTAAATCACATGATCCGATTTCTATTAATTTTAAAAAAAATATCCATGTTGAATATATTTTATACTTACAAATTTCAATAAATTCATATCATATTTTAAATTTTAATTTTTATCTTATTTAAAATTATTTTTATTAATATAAATTATATATTAATATAAATTAAAATTATAAATAATATATATATAGTATGCTTGAAATTGATACATAAAATAATATATGTAATATTTACATATATAATATATTATTAAATATATAATTTAAAATTAATAATATACTATAAAAAATATTTAAATTTTATATATTACAAATAAATATATTATAACAAGTGGTCATTGTAATATTTGTTAAGACTTTTCACGCTCGTATAAGTAGGGTTTGATTCTCATGTGCTTTCCTTTGAATTCCTTTAAAAAGTGATGAAAATCATTTTTGTGATTGAACTGATTACCTTCCAATTTATTGATCAAATCAGAACATTAACCGGTTCACTCCAATTTTTAACAAATAGAATGCATAATTAATCTAACTCAAGGCAGGAATTGACTAGACCACCGATTTCTGATTCAACAGATTCGACCAACCAGTCGAGCTGATTTTAAAACACCGACTAAATGTTAAACATTATCATTTACTCACTAAACAAAGCAATTGTCTCAATTATTTAATAAACCATTATTCAACAAATCAATAAGCACCAACTATTTAATAAAACATTTTTAAGAAATCGATAATAAAATAGTTAGACATGAACAGCAGAAGACATTTACATATTTACTCAAATAAGTTTACATATTTACTCAAGTAAGTTTTCAAGATCACGCATACTGGCACAGAATATGGTTTGTCTAACTATACTTAAAGATGGATGATAACATGTTAATACTCGATAGAAAGCTCAAGTTTCAAGCATCAGATGTTAAACCGCAGAAAATAAGTTTATACTTGTCCCACACCCAAGCTCATATCTACAAGAGAAGTAAATACTTATATTCAAATCTCAGTAGCCACAGCACAGAAAAACCAGAATTTTTGAAGCGTAACCATTACACAGAAAACAGGTTTTGAATGCAACCACTCCTCACCTAGGAGATTCTAACTTTTTTTTTCCTTTTCTTTATTTGGGAGGAATTATAAAAGTACTTTATACCGGCAAAAGATCAGAGGGCATATTCTTCTTCAAAATCATCAATTTCATATTCTTCCTCATCCCAATCATCTTCCCCGATTCCTACTACTTGTCCGCGCAATATAGTCACAATATTCCGGAAATCTCTCAGTCCCCTGTGCTCGGCTGAAATTTCTTGAGATTCATTTCCAGATGTGATAACTGGTTGACAGTTAGCCATTTGGTCCCTTTTCAACACAAAGTTTCCAGAGGGATCTAGAATATCCGCATTGAATGCTGGTGACAATGAGCCTCCAAGAACTTGAACATGAGAAACACTGCAACCACAATTTTCGTGTTAGGGACTTGGCACAACCGTCAACAATATAACTGACTTCTACGCAATATTTAGGGATACTTTTTCAAATGGAAGTGACAGCATAACAACCATGCCATGAATCCCGTAATAAATGGAACAGAGGCAGTGTTTTTAACTATGTAAATTTGGGTGAGAAAAAGTTCCTCTAGGTGATTTAATTTCACAAAAATGCATCAAACAGTGAGATAAACGAAGATATATACATGGTGTGTTCTTGGACTCAATATCCTAGTGTCATCTACTGAGTTCTAGGATCTGTTGTTGAACTCTAGGTGACTAGATCAGCACAACAGAGAAATCCTCCAAGAAAAGACACATGAAGGATGTCAGAATATTACAAGACTAAACATTAAAGCATCATTCACTTCAAAGCAACAAAAAGACAAAGCAAACAACAGAAGTTCTATTAGCATGTCATGCAGGTATAACTGAATTGTGGTTAGCAATAACTACAAAACATATCTAACACATCAGGAAAAAAAAAAAAAAGTAGAAATTAGTAACTTCCAACTCAGTGGATAATACACTGTAATTCTCTCATGAATAGGGAAGAAAATGGACCCGGAGCCAGTTTGAGGAATGTCCAATCTGTTTACAGCATTCTGGTCAACTTATCCAGGGGAAGGCTTCGGCATTTTGTTTTAGCATACACAGATAAGCAGGACTCAACACTTTTACATGAACGAAACACTGTAGTGTTAAAAGAGAAAGCCACATATATTGCTTCTTTTATGATGTAAAAACCCGATATTTGAAATTTATGTAAGATGTGAATATTTAAAAGAGTCCAGGTGAGGGACAAAAACCCACCTCCCCAAAGCCAGTACATAGAACCAAAGGGACCTAAAAGTTTATTCTATTTCTCAACTTAAAAAGAATGAGGAAACTCGTGCATATTCATCCAAACAACATTGTTACAAACACTTTTGGCCACAATAATCAAGACTTCACTATTTGCCACATTTTTGTGCATTTAAAAGACAAATGATACTAAAACCTAACATTGAATAAGGCTTATTGGGCATTTAATTAGGATACTAAATCTATGCCACTAAGTTCAATAAAACCTCAACAATGAACCAGTTTGACAAATACAAACCAAATGGGAAGAACAAAACGCACCAAATGTATAATAGACCATCAATTTCTTGTCTCTGTACCCTTCCCAAAAGCTCAATCTGCAAGATACCCCCAATACACAGCACAGGTTCTGGAAGCTTGAACTTCTGCAGCCGGTTCTCCTGTTCATGAGATTTTTCTCAGAAATTTCATATTGCTGTTCTTGGGATTATAAATTAAGGTGAAGAGGGTTGCACAAACGAAATCATTAAATTATTGATGCTAATTATGCAGCTTCTATTTTATTTCGCTATGCAACATCAACCTGGGTTATTTTATTTTGGGAGGTAAATAGATGTTCTCATTATCCATCAATTTTTATTTTTCAATTTACTTACAGTATTTACATTGAATGATATATAGACCCAGAATCAAACTCATGGAAGTGCCTTAGGATCCAACAAATAAATCAAGCTTAATACAATTCATTCACTCCCCATCACATACATAACACATTATAAACATTGACAAACACCTGAAGAGACAAAGGATCTGACCAACTAATGTATATCAGTATAAAACTGAAGATATAGTTGCCCAGATTCTGTCAACCAAATATTCCTTATGCATTCCGTTTTCCATTTTTTTATTTTTCTCCCTTGTGAGGAGCCAAATTGCTTAAATGTGTGGTTTAAAGTCGTGTACAGATCAGTCAATTTCTGTCTGTATGTATCAATGCAGAGAAAATATAAAAAATTACCAACGACCATAAATTGGCTGAATGAATGGTATTTAATTATTTATTATTATGAAAAAAGCATAGGTGCAATACCATAGGTGCTTTTGGTATTTTTTTGAATCAAAATTGGAGCTTTATCTTGGCATTAAGAGAAGCCGTGGGCTATTGAGATGAAACCCCAATTTTAATTGGCAAGCAGCAAAAGCACCTATTATCAATAGTTAATTCCCTAGCCGGAAATGACTGTAGAACGTTTGATTATCTATTTACTTCAATCATTTTAACCCACTTGAGGATAAGAGAGATTTAGAGCCCTCTGGTCATTCTTCCAGTATTGCAGCAGCCTTTCAAGTGATTATACAATTTGAAAATTTTTGAATGAGACAAACAATCCTCTTGAACAGAACTTAAAAGAGATATGAATGCAATACAGATCTGTGCTGCATGGACATGGTTTGGTCCACTAGACCTGGGATTATTCACATCATTTTTAACAGTGGAAAGGAAATTGGGAGACAGTGCAATTTTAATTCTTATGGGAGGTGACTTCTTATTATGTCATATCATGTTGTGCAGAAATGTTATAAAACCAGTAATCCTCGTAAACAGAACTTAAAAGAGATTTTAATTAAATGCAGATCTGCAATCTGGTCACAGTTTAGTCCAATAGATGTAAGATGATTCACATCATTTTTAGCAGTGGAATGTAAATTGGGCAACCAAAGAATTATTTTTTTCTCTTATGGGGTGATTTCTTATTAATGCATATTATTTGGAGAGAATACACTATAAGGTTGTTGTAATGAAATAACAATGCTTGACTAAATTTGACTATAATTGTGAGTGTACTAAACACCTGTTAAAACAAGATGTTGATTTACTCAAAAAAAAACCAGGTCTTCCTTATCCGATGCTCAAAAATAAGCCTATGTTGCATTAAAACATTTTTTTCAATAATATGTTCTCTTCAATCAAAAGCATCACATTTTGAACAGAGGGAGTTCACTAGTTATAGAAGGCAATTATTTATAATTTAGGACAAACTTCATAGTAAAGTTATACAGGAAATCAATGAAACAGACATTATTCAATTGAAAAAACAGTAGACAAACTATATAAGATATAAGTTATATACCTGAGACATTGGAAATTCCGGTGAAGTATAGGTCCATGAAAACATTTCATCATCTACAGCATCTAAAGAGGCTTTAGCATGACCCATTTTAAACCGAACAGATCTTGCTGCATATATTGGTGACCCAATCTGAAAGTGAGCTGGATAAGACATAATATTGTTAGCAAAAAGGAATAGAAACATAAAATAGATGGGTCAAACATAGTTTGTGAAGATTTCAAAGTGTACCTTGAAAAGGCTGGATATTGATTTCTGTGATTACACAAATTTGAGAGACCAACTCATATGTTAATGTCTCAGGAACATTGGGATTACTTTGTCCATCACTTGACCAGTAGGAATATCTACCAGAAATGTGATCTCTTGGCTCTAGAGTATTATCAATGCTTTCCTGAGGAAAGTTGTCAGTGCTAGAAGCACCAACTGTCTTAGCAATGCAATTCATTGCAACAGATGACATGAGAGCTCTGCCTAAGTAAGCATAGACTCTATGTTCTCTCTGTTGAACTAGCCATTCCACAGAAGAGCTAGATCCAACCTCGGCAAGTTCCTTGGCTCCATGTTGATTCAGTTCAACAACAAAAGCAACTCTAGATAATTGAGGAAATATTCTCAAGCATAGCTTCTTGCAAAGACCATTTGCAATCACTGCAAACCAATTAATCGTTGAAATTAATATATTTTTTTTATTGAAATTTGTCTCTGTTGAGAATGAGAACTGGAAACCAAAACAGTACTGATCAGATTTGAAAAGTATTGTAAAATGCAAGGCAACAAGGAACTAGAATTGAACTTTTATGAAACTGATGCATCGGTTGAGAAACAACTGCATAGTTAGAACTAGTTTAACTCACCATAGTGTCTCCAAGATCGAGAGACACAGCAGACACGAACAAGATCAGCCGGATCATCCAGACACGTGAGTATCTTAAGAGACATATCAGAATCCAGACAGCTGAGAAAATCTTTCCGATTTTCCATTGTTGAAACAACTGCAACTGTAGATTGGCTTCTCAAGCCAGAAATATGAATTGGTTCATAAAGTCAGCTGCAACAGTAACCTTAAAGTGAAAAATCCAGATACTTAAAAAAAAAATAGTATTACTTAACAACTTTTCTATGGTCAAATTTGCTTTTATTCATGCATGCTTGCTACTAAAATTCAAAAATATCCAACATCCAAAAAAATGGGATATTTTTACCTCCTTTATTTCCTGGGACTTGTATAGAATAATAATGGGGATACAGAAATTGAAAATTTTCCACCCTACAGGTCAATCAAATAATGACACAAACAGAGAATGGTGCAATAGATTGCAGCGGGACTAAAGCCAATTGCTTTAAGGGGTGAAAAACATTATCGTCCAAGCATCAAACCAAACATTTTGAACAAAAAATTAAATAAACATAAAAATCAATTGACCAATGGGTTGTAAAATTCAAGCATTTGGGGGGTAAAATCACTAACAATCAACACAAAAAGGGGGAAATTTCGAAAAATAAAATTGAATAGAGAAAGAGAAAAAATTAAGAGGAAAAAATTCTGAAGAAACAAGGAAAATTAACGCTAGAGGATAAAAGGGTGTTTGTATGTTGCAGGGAAAGTGCGATAAACACGAAAAAAACTTCACCTTTGATGTGCAGAAGAAGACATGTACATCGCAGAAGCGAAACCCTAGAAGTAGAAGGGAGAGAAAATTGAACAGAGAATGGTAACTTTGTTGGTAAGAAGAGAGAAATGGCGTATAACCTGGCAAAACACAAAGCTATATCGTAATTATTCGATTATTTTATTACAAAAAAAAATACAAAATCGCCTCGTTTGTATTTTATTTTATTTTATTTTATTTATTTATTTATTTTATAAAATAAAGAAAACAAAAATATTTTTTCATTTGTATTGAGAACTTAATTTAATATTCATAGTCATATTTAAATTAAAGTAGTTTAAAGATAAAGTTGCTCATTTAAATCCTAATATTAGATTTTTGCCTTGATATGAAATTGAACGTAAAAATATCATTTTAATTCTATAGAAATCAAAAAGTTAAAGCAGTTTATCAAGATTAAGGTTGTTACAGTTGAGTTTCTTTTACTAAAATGTTATTAGTTAAGTAGAATGTGCAAATATAAATTTTGTGAACTCATTTGTTTCATAATGAATATTGTAAACTCTTTCATACCAATTTCGATTCTCATAAAAAAAAATATTTAATACACATATTATAGATTTTAATTGTAATATAATTTATATCTTTTAAAAATATATTTAATATAAATTTTAGTTATAGTAAATTAAACTAATTAAAAGCTTTTTTTTAGTTTTTGTAAACTAAAATAAGAAATTTTTAACTTTGGTCTCTATGAAATTTTTTCTTCACTTTTTATCCTTCTAAAATTTGTAAAAAAAAATATTTTTGACCTTATAAAAAAAATTTATCTTTGTAAAATGAGTAAATTTTGGTTTTAGTCCATCTGAAATATTTTTCTTTAATTTTCATCCTTCTAAAACTTAAATCCACTATTTTGGTTCATAACAATAATTTTAACCTAGATAGAAAAAATTATTTTAAGAAATTATAAAATAAAAAAATTGAATTATCAAATACTAATATAATATCATTAATAATTGTGAGTATCACTTGCGATGGTCACTTATTGTTTTAATAAAAAAATAATTAAAAACAATTACTTAACGATATGAACTAAACACAATAGTTCTAAACTTTTAAATAAAAAAAATCAAAGTATCATTGGTTAAAATTTAATCATATGAAAAATTTTAAGTGTAACATGAACTACAATTTGCATATGCATGTGGTGTCAATTATATATGTGTGTGTGTCGATTTAGTGACTTACATACACATGATACAGGTCACACAAGATTCAATATAACATCATGTTATCTCTATACATATTCACAATGATTTGCCAAAATACCACAAACAACCCTCATTAGATACACATACAATGATTTGTCAACACCAATACCAATTCACATCCTTTACATCCATCATGTCTCACATTAACATAAATTTATACTCAACATATCATATTTAGTTATCCACATCAATTAGTACAAAAGTTATATATTCGCAGTTCAAGCACAACAATTATATAACATCATTCGATACACTTCAAGATAGAATCATTATGAAATCATCTAATCATATGTTAATACTTCAACCATTGTCACTAAGAGATCATCATTAAACTAGACATTTATATTTATAACTTAACTAGTTTAGCAACGTTATTGGTATAACACACTAATTTCTTAGGCATTGATATCACCAAAATCTCTTAAATTGTTAACAATCAACTCACACTATAATTTAATCACAATTGTTCTCCCTCGTGATTTTTTCCCTAAACATTGATATAGGTACTTCAAACCATTCATAAGATAAAACACTTAAAGGGTAAGGTCATTCATAATCATCATTCACAAACTACATTTTCATAACTTACTCTTTTATAGCCTCATGTTGTCCAAACATGATATCTAAAACTATATACATGTTATAGAGTTGATCTTAATTTTATTATAAAGTTAAGATAATTATGTACAACTTCTATGGTGGCCTTAAGAGTTAGTTTTGTCATTTACTATTTTTAAAAATTACAAAACCGTAATGTTTCAGCATAAATCTAATAGTCTAACCTTTGGTCACTGATTTGACCATAACTTGAGTTCTAAACCTTATTTTTTAGTGATTCCAACAGCATTGGAAAAATAACATCTAGAGCTATAATTTATATGAATATCAAAAAATTTGATTCTAACATTATCACACCCAACACATGACATTTTTTACACCCGATGTGGAAAAGACAGAACCTCTTTGTCGTACATGTGCCCGATGTGACTAATATCATGCCTGATGTGAAACCTCATTAGAACAATGTCAAACAGCACCTGGCGTGGCTCATTTTACACCCAACACAATATCAATTTGTGAGGAACCTATAGACTATACAAAAATCACACAATACAAAACAAAAAAAAACCCCAAAACTTCAAACCAATTAGTAAAAATCCCAATTAAAGCTTAAAACTACTATATCATACTATATTATGCTTAAGTTTTTATGCTATGAGTATTCATAAAATTGAGCTATATATGGGTTGTTATGCACAATTGAGATGTTTGTGCATATGAGTTATGTGTGCTGCAAGATATATCTAAGTAATGGCTTAGCAAGGAGAAAATCTAAGTATACACTTGGTCATTTGGGTGTTGTGATGATGTGATTGAGTTCATGTGTATCATCCATATTTTGTTTGGGGTGGTTGTGAATCCTTATGGGAGGGTCTTTATAGTTTTCTACCTTGACCTTAGAGGTGTTATAGTAGGAAGCCTCTCACGTTAAGATGAACGAGAGGAAATTGTTGGTGTTATAGTAACCTAACTGACTCCTAATAGATCATCTTCCTAATTAAGAGTAGATTGAGAGGGTCACTTAGTGTGATCCGATTCATGTACTCCTATGTTACCTCATATTTGTGAGCCTTTTATGCGAAGTAAATGGCATCACATGTATATAGAATTAAGAGCACAAGTCCATATGAGTTGAGTATATTTTGTACAATGGTTGTTTGTGATGTTTGTGAGTGTGGAGATCTACTTGAATTTCTTGTATGTGCCTTTGAACATATGTGGGATATATTATCAATTCTCTATTTGTGTGCTTGTTGTTGTTGTTTGGGTTGATTGCCATTAAAGGTGAACATGATCTACTTAAGCAGGAAGCGGTTGCAAGAAAAGAAGCTTAGGCTATATAGGTTTTCTTTGTGGGCTACTCCAACAGACTATGACATCAAGATTAGGACTAGTTATTTAGGATTTTGTGATGAACATGTCTTAATTAAATTTTCTTTTATCATGATTTGCATTGAATTTAAGAACTTATAAAGGTCATTTTAATGTCTCTAAGTATTATTTTTATTTTCAAAACTCATATTTTTTTATTTATTTGAGTTTTATTTTAGTGAAGATGTATAATTTGTGAATCCTTTGGTTCAAGAATTAAGTTTAATTATATTTAATTGTCGTACTTTATTATTATTATTATTAATTTAAAATAGCTTGGAATACAAAGGTGTCATATGAACACAAGCTTGACACATATGCTTGTATATACTTAAATTAGTGACGATTAGATGGAGAGTTATCTAAACTTTGATATCATAAAACGATATTTTGGGAAGAGAAAAAATCATTCTATTAATTATTAAACGAATATGTCTGATATGGCCCGATTAACTAATCTTTATTACGATAGTTATAAATTTATAATCGACTATATAATGCTCCAACAAATTAAGAGCAAGAATGAAACCAGTAAACCAAGTAAATGATTGGAAGTCACCAGTTCTATCCGATTGAAATCATAACAATTTTCTTTCTGAAAAATATTATCATGACAATCACAAAATATTAAAAGAATTAACGAAGTTTGCACTTTATGTAAAATAACATGCAAGGCAATACACAAAGGCCCAGAACTTAAAAAAGAAGCATATTTTGGTCCGACATAGAATTTAGATACAACCGTAACTCAGGGAAATTTTCCATTCGACTAGTATATTTTTTTTTTGTTTAATTATATTTTTATCCCCTCAAGTATTGTAATTATGTAATTTGATCTTTAAGATTTTAATCGAATAATTTTAGTCTTTAAAGAATTATAATTATGTGATTTTAATCTCTTTTTTTTAATTGAACAATTTTAATCCCTCAAATATTATAATTATACAATTTTAGTTTCTCTTATTAAAAATTTAATAATTTTAATACATATATATATATATATATATATATATAATATTTTAAAATTATACAATT